TTCTTCTCTTAGAGAAAACCAGCAAAAGGTGAGTGGCTATTTTTTCAAAGAGTTTTAATAGTTGATGGGGATATGTATCTTTTCCCATTAATCATAAGCCATCTGTGGAACAAGCTTCCTGTTTTTCTCTGCTTCCAACTCCACTTATTTTTCAAATCTCATATGAAAACATGTCTTATCTCTTTTATGTATTCCTAAAATCACAAAATTGAATTTATTCCATTTCAGTGATGAACCCCCATCTAGTTAGATGCTTGACCAATCAGATAAATATTGTGCAATTTCCTGAGGCTCACCAATTTAAACAAGCAATTTACATACATAAATATTTTTTTCTGAAGTGCACAAATTGTGAGTTACGGGAATCTCACTTTGCCACTGAGATGAACAAGATTACTATAAGTATATTGGATTTAGTGGAATCAGGAGCTGTAAATATGACTTACAAGAAGGGATATTTGAAATGCAGTTTTAGGCATTTCAATTAAATTTTTCCACATAGTTGTATCCTCAGCTGATTTTTCAGTTCAGTGTTTAAGTGCTTTTTTGAATAACCCTGGACACTGGGAAAGGAGTGCTGGGTTATATTAGCAAGGGCTCAGTACTGTGTGAACCCATCTGCTCTGGAGCTTGTTAGCGTATGGATGTTTAGAAGCAAAGAGAGATCAAATGTGGAGTTTTCTACAACCTGCATAGATGTATCTTCAAAGAATCCTTTTTCTGTACTGCTGCAAGTTAAATAAGAAACAGTAGTACAATTACGTAAGTTTCAATGAGTGTCTGGCCTTATCATTGTTCATTGCAAACATAAAGACGGAAAGTATTGCTGGAAGTATTTGTATTATATGTGTGCATTACAATAAAAGCATTTGTTCCTTCAGAGAATCTGTTTTTAAAGTTTTTACTGTCAGTTCATTTTTATCATGCTTCTCCAGTTCATAGATCTTTTTTAGAGAATTTTCTTAGAATTTTCTCTTAGAAAAATATTACAGTTTGCGTGCATTAAGGATTTTAGAGCATTTACGTACTAGAAGTCCACCTGCATAAATACATACATGTACACTGCAGCCAAATTTCTCTTACAAAATTGGTATCATCTTGTAGAGAAGAAGAAACCACTGCACAGTGAAGCGCAGATACTTAGTTCACATTTTTTGTTAGTTAAGAGAAGTCTGAAGGTAAAGCCAAAACCTGACTATGTTGATGAGATTGTTTATCATGGTATGTCATTTTTGTGGTGAATACTTTGCAAGTCTTGGGGAGGATCCTCTGAAACTTTTAAAAGTACTTTTAAGAATAATTTAATGTGTTGAATTGATAACCCTTATAAATACTTCTTTGTCTTGCCTTTATTTCCTATCAGAGTTCTAACTTGCATTCCAGTTTCTTTTGTATTCTGTTATGTGGTCTTTGTATTTTCCTTGTAGAAAATGCTGTGGTTTCACAAAGATCATTAAAATATGGGGCACGTTTTTTCCTTCTTTGCTTAAATTTTACAGAGTAGGCTTTGAGGTTACCAAAAGTGTTTAGCACTTTTCCTAAACTTCTCTGAGAGAGAAATATGGGCAGTAAATGCAGGAGGAAAAATACTGAAGAAGGTCTTAGAAAGTTATCGTCAGAATAGGAAGCTCAGTTGTTCAGTGAAGAACCCAACTGAAAGGTGATTAACTGGTACCCTGTCTTGCCCTGTGCCTCAAATGATCATCTGTAGACAATACCATGTGTAATCCAAAATTGTATCCAAAATAGTTGTTAGCTCTGAAGTATGTGTACTGGAATGATCTGGCATGAAATTTCTTTGGTGTACTTTTATTGAAATATAATTATTTTGTAAACTAGAACTTGGATTATTAATGAATTGAAACGGTCACAGAAATAACTTCAACCGTTTGTATAATTGTTGATAGGTGAGTTTATTTCTGAAACAGTTTGCAAATGGGAGGTAATTTAGAAATGCAAATTTAAAACCAACCAATTTGTTCCCATTCTTTCAAAGGAAGTTTCTGTAAATTGTGGTGAGTATGTTTGAGGCTTTTTTGCTCAAAGTAAAAGCAAAAACGGTAGCATCTAAAAGAAAAATTTCTACTGCTTCTAGTTTTGTTCTCTCCTTATCCCCCAGGTCATGAGAGATATGGGAGCATTGAGGAGGGCTTAGTGAAGGGCCACCAAGGTGATCAGAGGGTTGGGGAATTTGATGTGTGTGGAAATGTTGATGGAGCTGGGTTTGAGCCTGAAGAGGGGATCTGAGGAGGGGAATGTAATCACAGTGTATCTGAAAGGTAGCTGTAGAGAAGATGTAGGTAGCTGTCTTCAGGAGGATGCACAGGGATGGGGCAAAAGGCAACAGGCTGCTTCAGGGGAAATTCTGTCTGGATAAAAGAAAAAAAATTCTTTACCATGAGAACAGTAAAACACTGGAATAAGTTGCCCAGAGAAGGGGTGAAGGACTCTGCTCGACAGGGCCATGAGTAACCTAATGTAAGGCTCTGTTTTCAACAGAAGATCTCACCAGATGGTCTCCAGAGGTCCTGGAAAGGACCTAAATTTTTCCATCATTCTGTGAATCTATTTTTCTCTGATATTCAAGCAAATATGGACAAGTGGACTAGGCAGGCTGTGGTAGTGCTAAGTAATTTGTGGAGAATAATAGTCCTGGCTCCTCTGATCTGATCCATTCCTCAGAGTGAAGCAACTGCGCTGTATTAAGGAGATGGGAGGGGAGGGCAGTGCAGGAGAAAGTGGTGCCTGAGCTTTTCAGAGGAGGGATGTGATGGACGGCTGGAATGGAGGGGAAAGTACTGTGTAAATTTGAATATAAGCGTTAAGAAAGGTAGCTGAACAGTTGAAAAAACCTAGGACACAAAATGGGTAAGGAGTGAAAAGGCAGAAGCATATGGGTTTGCTATATACTTTTTAAACAGTTTAAGTATCAGATGTATTCATGATAATGTATTCGTGATAAGGTTTGAATGGCAGAAGGACTGATGGTGCAGGAGGCATTATATGCCTCTAGGTACTGAAGGTAGTGTAGTGTCGGTAGTCTTGGATAGTTTTCTCTGGTAGTGTGAATAGCCCTGGGTTACTGAGTGCAAGACCTGTCTCTGAAAGTAATGGAGGAGGAAGGGTACACCAGGACATTCTTGAATGTTCTGTATTTTGAATCATCTGAAGAGGCTGGTGCCTCACCACTGTTGTCTTAAATACTTGAGAGAAGAAGAGGAAGAAAAAAAAAAAAGGTGGATTGTTTGGAGCAGTTGTTAACACAGTTACTTGATCATAAAATGAGCCATATAAACTCAGAGAGATGAAAGACAATAACCTTTCTCCAAGTTGAACAGATTTCTTTGTTATTTTTCATTGTTTCGGGGAAGCTGGATTGTCTAAGTAGATGGATATTTCATTTGCCTTGGTAATCCATCAAAACATACTTGGCATTGTGGTTGCTTTTCTTTTTCACAATCATCATTTTCTTCAGAGAGGAAGGTTAGTTCTGTCCTTAGATTGTTCAGGATCATTCCATTAGCTGACTACTGTAACTGTCAAGAAAATTTCTGTCTTAAGATGTTATCCTCACTTTAGTCTGTAAATGAAATTGAGGGCATCTCTGAAACGTCACTGCCATGTCTTGTGTGATGTGTACAGATTACACTTTGCAATATGATCTGGAAGTTGTCAGAAAACCTGGATGTGTGCTTTAGTGTGACATTAGTGCATTCAGATCAATTATTACTGCTGCCAATACCTGTTTTTATTTAGTTCTTAAATATCTGTAGAAGAGAACCACTTTACAGAGAAGGGTTAATACCCTTATCCCTGCTTTAAGATGGGGAGCATTAGAGAAGTTCCTTGCCCATAGTCACTCAGAATCAGTGACAGAGCTAGGGTTAGAATCTGTGTCTTCATTAAGCAATTATTTAGTGATGGGTTCTTAAAAGTAGTGTGGTATTGGGAGGAGAGACTATGTTTTGGATTAAATATGACTAATCCATTCTTTTTAATACAAACATTGCATAACCTATGAAAAAATTTTGTCTCAATATGTGGAATTGTCTCTATCCAGATTTTTATTATCCGTACTGAAGAAAATAGATTGCTTTCTGCCATTGTCTGTTTAGCCAGCTGTAAGCCCTGTTGGGCAGATTGCATGGTATGCTGATTAATGATGTAGGCCGTGGGTGATTAGCCAAGTGTGTAAGGAGGTCTATAGCTTCCAGTGTGTTATAGAAATACCATTGATCAATGTAACCACACAGCCTGTAGTGTCTCCTGCAAAGTAAATTCAGACTAGTGGAGGAAGGTGGTGTAGCCCCTGAAGAGCTGCTGCAGTGCTACACAGCTGTGCTTATTTTTAGAGGAGGTTTAAATTTAATCTGAGGATTTGAAGGTTTGGTGTTTTTTTTTTAACTTGATATCTTTCTTACTGTGATTATGGGCATCTCCCTACCCCCATTTTTCTTGCAGAATAAATCCAAAAGACTTAATGTGCATGTGATAAATTTGGGAGATGGTATTTCTACATGTGCTTAAAAAAGTGTTTCTTTTGTATCACAGTATCCAAGGGCAGGAGGCAGAATAGCTTGATGATTCTGACAAACAGCATGCTGTTTTATAAAAAGTTACTAGCTCAAGCTGTCAAATGTCAAAGACTGTATATGCTACTTTTGTAGCTGAATATAATTTTTTTTTCCTAATAAATCAGCACTGGTTAAATACTTTCCTTTTTAGAGAATGCTGAAAATACATAATATATTTATGACTTTCATTTCACATTTTTAATGCAGTAATTCTACTATAGGAATGGGTTTTTTTCATACTGTGTCCTGAAATGTCATCAGCATCACTGCTTCGATGCTGTATAAATTCAGATTGTAGAGCAGAGTCAGGTCATATTTTTTTTTCTTATGAGTGAGTTTTTTCTAGAGAAATAACATGAGCTAATTCATCTGCTTATTATTACTACTCTCTTAAAATTTCTGTAAATATCTCTTTCTAATTTATAGGTAGTAGCTCAATTCCAAATTTCTTTCACATCATGAAGCGACAGTTTACTGAAACAGAGTGGTGTGTAATCAAGTCTATGAGTAATGAATGGATGCAGCTGGATATGTTTCATCGGCACTGGGTAATACCTTTTTTTTTTTTCTATTTAAAGACTGAAGTGCTACAACCTGCACATTCTCTTTTGATATATTTTGTTGTTATTTTCATTATGGTAAAATTGAATACTTTTTATAGTTACATGTTCATGTGGAGACAATATTTTAATGGGGTTTATATTTTAGTGATTTTTTTAAATGTCAGAATAACTTTGAGAACCGTAGTACAGCTGGCATTTCTAGAAGGATTTATGACTAGTTTTAAATACATACCCAGAACAAGGTAAAGGGTTCATATTTGTATGTGCCACTTGATAATCCCAGTTGCATGTTCATTATAACGCAGCAGGTTAGACTAGGTATTAACATCGCTGATAACTTTTTCTCTTGATAATTGCATCAGTCTACCCTCACATTTACAGTAGTATAAGTCTTAAATTTATTTGGTTTACAGTGTCTGCTCAGAAGTAATGTTTATAGGGTAGTTTGAAAACAGGCAGTATGAATAAAATAGATTTATTCTGTGGTTTAGGCCTTAAAGGAAAGCTTCTTAAAGGCTGTTGGAGTCGGAATTGGCTTTAACTTGCAAAGAATTGAATTTAATGTGTCCCCACTGCAACTGGAAATAGGGAAGGTGTATAAGGAGACAAAAATGCTTCTGGATGGAGATGAAGAAGACGAGTGGATATTTGAGGTAAGAAGTATTAAAATTTATTTTTTCAATAGTGATAAATAGTCTCAACTCCCTAGGTTGCATTGCACATTTGATTTTTTTAAATTGCAACTTCACACTTTTATTCTGTATAACCACATTGAACATATATCAATCAAAACTTAGGATATAAATCTGCAGCACTTTAAAGCATTTTTGATGATCACAAAAACACCCCAGGGATATATTCATTATAATGGCTTTTTATTTTTTCTGTTCCTGGAGTATGCTTCTTGCACACTATGAAATTCAGCCTAGGGCATGCAGGAAGTTCAATGAAGCATATTCAGACCTGACTTCTGAACAGTGTCTAAGATTTTAAAGTTGTTCATTAGTTGGTCTAGAATGGGACTAGTGATTAACCCCATTAGTTAGTGTTTATGTTAAATGTGTGAAATGGAGGAGATGTCTTCAGCTCCTTTGGGTTTCCTACTTCTTGTCCATACAAGCTGGTAGAAATGTGCTTTTGTGGGTTTGGAGTTACAGTGTGCTGATTGGCTGCTGTCTGTGGCAATGCAGAGATGCGAAAACCTTGCTTTCGCTTAATTGGAACATTAGTTTGGGCTCAATCTTCTACCTAAGTGTTGGGGTTTGGGTTTTTGTTTGTTTTTAGAAGGAGAGAGAGAGTGAGACTTATCACTAAAACATCTATCCTGTTAGATTTGGTAGAAAATTATCAATATCATCTAGTGTAGCTTAAAGGCTGTAGAGAGAAAGAACTGACAGGGACATGGTTTAGTGGTGGACTTGGCAGTGTTAGGTTAACGATTGGACTTAATGATCTCAAGGGTCTTTTCCAACCTAAATGATTCTATGATTCTGTACAATGATGTCAAATTATTTAATTACGTTAAGAAACTAGGCTTTTAAAAAAAGTTAAACAAATCACAATATAATTTCTCTACACCCCAGAGGCACTTTCATTCAATCAGTTAAAACAAAGGAAGAAATGAAAAGACGTTGTGACTTTAAAATTGTCTGTAAAGGGCACCTTGTTCCAGTCTGCTGTAAATTTGTGCAGCTGATATATGGCTGACTAACAATTCGAAGAATACATACTTTGCAATTACACAGAATAGTCAAGCATGCTTTTCAGTAAGAGTACTCAGTTTCCAATAAGTGTTTATATTTTGAAAGTGTCTACATTGTTGGAGACAACTGTTCCAATAGAGCTTGTCTAAATCACAAATTTCTGCTGTATGCTTGTTTTGTGTAGTATACAAACTACGTGTATGGTACGCATGTAGTAAAAAACAATGAATGTACCAGTAATGTTTAACTTGTAGCATAAGTTGACCTCTTCACGGTATTTCTAGCCACATTTGGTTTTGTATTATTTTAGAAGTCTACCCATACTAAATCAGCTCTCTTACTGATATTGCCATGCTCTCTAGGAATTGAGTATGTCATGAAACTCACTAGTTGGAATTATAGACTGGCAAAAGAAAATCTTCGGAAAGGCTGTGACACATCTTGTAATAGAATGCTTTCTGTATTAATGCTAACTGTACCATTGTCGAGCATCTACCTCTTTCAGTTGACTTCTGGAACTCCTAATTTTGGTCTTTGACGTGTCTGTGGTTGATTGACTAAAATAGCCTGAAGATGATGATGCAGGTAGCTCCCTGTATTACTTAAATGCTTTAGAAGTATTTGATTTTTCCTTATTATGTAGTAATTACTGGTAGAAGCTTAATTTAATTTTTGTCTGAGGAGTGTCTCTTCTTCCATGCTTGCCCTCCTGCTTCCCAAGAGTGTAGCGTTATAATGAGGCAAATCTTGGTATTTCAAAGAAAGGATTTATTATTAAGTTTCATTTAAATACAAGCTCAACTGGGATATAATTTCATTTAAATATCAACATCTATTAAAATGAAATTGAAAAAAATAGTTTTTCAGTTACGACTCCCTAGCCTAAAATTAAGCATTACTTTACTTTTTTGTCTTCTCCCAAGTTTCTTTTGATTTTGTGCCCATTTTCTTACTTACAAAAGTCTTTTTTTTGTTTCATTATTTGCCCTTGAGCCAAATTCTTGAAACAACTTGTTAACTGAAAACACTAATTTTGAGAAATGCAGAAGAGTCACCCAAGAGAAGTCATTAAGAATCACCTGTAAGACTACATATTGCTGGTATCGTATTTTCCTTGTGTTCCCTGTTGTGCTGGGTTTGCTGGAGTGAACTTTTTCTATCAAGTAAAGAAATATAAAGACCTCGCTTTTACTTTTCAGATCTGCCTATATCCTTATGATAGGAGATAGTCGAAGAGAGCAAGGCTGTTTCAAATCAAATTATCACATATTTTGGATTGTCTTACTTCAGCTTTAAAGAGAATCTAATTTACCAAAAACAGAGGAGAGAAATAAAGGGGATTTTACCCATTTAAATTACACAAAATATTCTGAAATCTCCTTCAGAAAGTACCATGTAACATGGAAAAAAGTAACTTAAAAGCATAAAGACTAGAAAAAGATCTACCACCTTATGCTTGTCATGACTAAAAGGTCAAGAGAAGTACTAGTGAATCAGAGTAAATCAAAGTTGACACTGTTCAGACACCCTGTAACTGTTCACAACAAGAGCAAAGCCTGTTTGTATTGGAGATAGAATTTTCTGTGAACATTAAAAGAAAATTAATTTTCTGTTATTTCATTGTAAATACCAAATGAACTACCATGTTGTGTAGCTGGCTGTTTGCTGTCCCTTTACCAAGGGTTTAGTTTTGTTCAAGTGTCTTTCCCCTCCTCCACTGCTCATATCTTTGAGCTTGGATAGAAGGCAGTAGCTCAGAAACAGCCTCTTGTTGTTTGATCTTGATGGATCGGTTTAGCTTTAGGCACTTGTTTTCATATAGTACTCCAGAGATTGCTACTTAGATTCCCTCCAACTGTTTTGGAAGGAGTAGGAGGAAAAAAAAATAGTAAAACTTCATTTAAAAATACAAATTTAATTTTAAGACATGTCTGCTATGTGTATTAAATATGCTTTATTCACATATGCAGTGCACACTTTCCTCATTTTAAAAAGGTGAATTTGTTAGTAATAATTAAAAGTTTACTAGCCCAGTGAAGAGTGATACAGTATTTGTGTCAGGATGTTAATTTAGGATGGAGTCATTATGATGATGATGATGGGCATTTCTGTATGCTCCATTTACTTCCTTTTGTAGAAAATAAACTTACAGCATAAAGTACTAGTTAATTCTAATAAAAGTGAAAGAAGCTGATAGATAACAATTATGGCAAGTTTTATGTTTTAAAGAGATAAACCTAAGTTTATAATATATATATCTGTAGCAGATCTGATATGTAGAAAAAATCTTAATTACCGATTTGCAAAATGTTAAGTGTATTCATGACTCTTTTTCCTTATTGGTCCCAGTTTTGTACAGTTAATCAGGAAGAATGGCTAGAAAGCACTTATTAGAATCTATATTAACGAAGAATCTTAAATGAGATGTAAGGCAGTTCTGGTCCCTACCTCAACTTTGGATACAACCAGTTTGTAAAGGAAGCAACCAATTTATCCTAAACCTCACTTGGGGATTAAAAATCACTTGGCATCACTGCTGCTACACAAATAATTGTTTGCATTTTTTCACAACAAATATTTGCTTGGTTTGTCCATATGCAAATACATTACTTCCAGAATACAAATTTCAAACTGAGATCACCTAGATCAATTTGAAACATATGTTGTTGGTATGCATATTATTGCATATGTTGTTGGCAACGTATTGTTGTGGGTGTGCAAGTGTAATGGAGTCTTTCACCCTCAGTAAGAGTAGTTAATCCTGTTGTATTGTAAGGAATAAATAGGAATGAAAACTTTTACTTCTAAGACTAGCTATTCCACCTGGATTCACACAGCGATCAGTTCTGCTGGCTGGGAAGGTACAGTTTCCTCATAAGCTGTCTGTTGAGTGAATCCAGAATGATTTGAATCCCAGACAGATCATTCTGCTAAGCCTTTGAAATGAGGTCATTATAAGTCTCTGTGTGCCTGTAGCTTGAACAGCTCTAGTAACCCTTTGGTTCTGTGCAGAGAAAAACAAATTTTGATCCATTATGTGTTTTCTGGTTTATAGAGAAGAATCTTAACGAAACAAACTCTTTACCTTAGAGGAATTCTGTACGATTGTCCTCTTTCTTTTTTTGTTTAATCATTTATTTCCATTTAAGAAGTTGGATTTATTTTATAAGCTGGTATAGCAGTATCTCCAGATGAATAGGGAAGCAAGCTGATTCGTTGTTTTTTATGGTTTCAGTATGTTTTGTTAACTCCATACCTTAAGGTTTTTGCTGGCTGCTAGTAGGGGCCAGGAAAGATCTCCTTCCCTTCTGTGGTTGGTTTGGATTTACATTTCTCTGAAGCAGCAAAGATAAGATCAAGGGCATAGTTTGTTACGTTTTATTGTAAGATGCTGAAAACTCTTTTGTGACCACAGAGGATACATGAAGTAAATGAGGTGGAACCTTCTGAATTTGTGGTCCATTGGGCAGGGTCTCTGCAGGGGAATGGTCCCCATTATCTAAAGAGTTACTGCCTGTTAAATGCAGCTCTGAGCTGACAAAAATTTATTTTATTAGCAATATGTAAAATAATTTATCTATAATATGTTTTTAGTTGCACGAACAAGAAGTAATACATAAGTTCACTTCACAAAAAGAAATTTCTGTGTGTTTAGCTTAAAGCTGTAACACAGTTGTTTGCAAACTTCTGACTTTTTCTTACTAGTGCTTTGCAGAAAGGTAAAACAACACGAGCTTGATTTGTTTTTAAGTAGGTGAGGGATACAAAGTTCACTGCTAAGTTTGTCAAATAAACACAGTTTTGGTGCTGAAGAGATTAAAGTAAAAACATAGTTCTACTCCCACACCAGCACCTATCTGCCAAGGCACCCACATCTTTGCCAATGAAGTCCCCCGACCTTACAGTTGTACTGCTGCTGCACATGACTAGAGCAGCTGCTGTCTTGGCTGAGCTGGGTTGAACAGATCTGAGCTGAGCATCTTGGCACTTTTTTTATATACAGGGCTGTTTGGGAATCACAGAAATGGTATCCTTACAACTGAAATCTTTGAAAATCCTATGTATAGTGGATGAGCTGTAGAGAAACCTAATGCAGACTGACAGCATTGTTTCAAAATACATTTTGCTTGGATTAAAAGGGGTAAAAAAAAAAAAAAAGGTAAACAACAACTTGTCAGAGGAAATAGGAGGACATCATGATGCTTTCTCTGTATTATAATCTAGTGCAGTTAGAGTATTTCCCAAGGAAGTGGAAATTGGAGGTTCAGTCATACTTCCCAGGAGAATATCCAGACTACTAGCTGATTTTCAGATTAATGGTTATATTAATCATAGAATCATAGAATCATAGAATCGTTTAGGTTGGAAAAGACCTTTAAGATCATCCAGTCCAACCATTAACCTACACTACCAAGCCTACTCTAAGCCAATCAAGGGTAGACTAGACTAAACCATGTCCCAAAGTGCTGCGTCTGCCCGTTTTTTGAACACTTCCAGGGATGGTGACTCCACCACCTCTCTGGGCAGCCTGTTCCAATGCTTGACCACCCTTTCCGTGAAGAAATTTTTCCTAATTTCCAACCTAAACCTCCCCTGGCACAGCTTAAGCCCATTTCCTCTCATCCTATCGCTAACTACTTGGGAGAAGAGACCAACACCCACCTCGCTACACCCTCCTTTCAGGTAGTTGTAGAGAGCGATAAGGTCTCCCCTCAGCCTCCTCTTCTCCAGGCTAAACAACCCCAGTTCCCTCAGCCGCTCCTCATAAGGCCTGTGCTCCAGAATGGTGATATCCAAATTATTCATTTTTCTAGGTATAATTCTTGTTATTTTTTATTTCCATTTTAGAAAGTTTGTGCCAAAATTATGTGAAAATTTTTGGATAAAGAAGCAAGGAAAACATTATTTCCCCTCCCCGCCCCCTGCCATATATGTGTGTGTGTATATATGTATATATATATGTGAAAAGCCAACAGGATTATGACGACTGTAGAATAAACATTATTCAGAAACAGTATATAATAGTGTTTTTATCTGAAATTAATTGTTTAGGATGTATTCTTAGCTATCCTAGAGGAAAACACTTAAACAAAACTATCAAATAGCTATAACTATGTATTTAGTCATATAGTTTCTCTCTTAAAAATGTTTTTGGAGGAAAATTGATTTGTATTTACACAGAGTAGTGCTTGGACTGTTGTGTCAGAAATTTGAAGTTGTGGTCTTACATGCTGTCTGAAGCCAAGAGTGAGAGAGTCATTGGCTTAAGTTTACGCTTACACTGCTGTTTTTCAGAATACCTGCCAGAAGTTCACAGTTCATCTCATTGGAAAACAGATAGCTAAGATGGGTTATATGGTTTCTGACTTAGAAGGGACTGGTAAAGGAATGCTAAGGTCACAAAATTGAATATAAATATCTACAAATGGGTGAGATGGTGGTAACCTATAGTAACCAGTTCAGCCCTGCTAACTTGTTAATGTGTGTGCATCCTTGAGCTCTCCGACAAAACTACTAAAACGGACTATAGCTTTTTGAATGTGATTATTTTAAAGTATTATAAATGATGTTCTGCTGTCATTCTGAACCATATTCTAAACATTTATATAGTCTTTGCTGGAAACAGAATAAAGAAAATGCATTTACATTGCCATTTTTCATCTTTACTAGGAAACCCGGTTAGATGACCATCATCATGTTGCAGTGGCTCTCGGGAAACAGGAGGGATTTGGACAGAAGCATTCTGATGTAAGAAATTATGAAACATTTTCAGGTCTTGGCAACTAATCACTTGAACATAAACTTAGTCTGATGGTGTAGCTAAAAGTGTGTTATCTCGGATGTAGGGCCGAGGAGAAAGCTTATCTTAAGCACAGTATTAACCAGATTGTTACTGAACTGTTACCTCTAGTTCTGTTATGCCTATTTCAGGAAAGATTTGAGAAGAAGTGGTTTCGGAGGACAGCAACAGATAATGTCAAATCTGGAGTGTATGTGTTACAGCATTCAGTGTGTTCATTCACGAGAAGATTAAGTGATTTTTTTTTTTGTCACAGCCTGCTAGCACTGATGTGGGAAAGATGGTTTTCACAGAGGAAAATGGGGGCAGTGAATCAATCTGGACTGCTAAACTAGTACGGCACCTCACCAAGTTGATTTTAATGGGGGATTGTCAGTGCATGTATCCCAGAGCAGATCATCTCTCAAACACCATTATGACAAGATAACCCTTGAGACAAGCAACAACAACCAACAGATGGGAAGAACAGCAGTGTTAGTCTTCATTCCATGTGGTCTCTTCACTGAGAGAAGCAACAAAGCTACTTAAAAGCTTTTCAGGATTTTCTGTGTAATTTAACAAAGACCTGGGTCTTGAAAATAGCAATGAAAGTCAAATCTGAGGCAGACTGGCAAGTTGTAGGCGAAATAGCCAGACAGCCAGCAAAGGAAAGTGTGACAAATTGCCAGGTTTGTCTGTGGTGTTTTAGTTGCTTACAAGAAAATCAGTTAGTTGTTTTCTGTTGTCTAGATACAAAGGTTCTGCCAAGGACTAGAAAAAAAAAATTAGTATATGAATGGATAAAAGGATGAAAGTGGTTGTGCACACAAGTATCATGATCATGGGTAACACAGAGAGGCAGACCTTTTAACTAGTATTGGTTAGATTAAAAAAAGATGTATAAACTACCTTTGAGGATTTACTGTGGTAAATCAGTGCTCAAATATTCTTTAAGAAGATATGTGCGTTCTGTTTGACAGGACGTACTTAAGTTCCCAGTCAGGCTGCATATCATCCTTCCTACAGGAATACTGATAAATGTCAGTCTGAGGTGAAAAGAAGGTGGCCATTATTTCTAAAGACAATTACCGAAGTATTCTACAAAAGTCCAGGATTTTTAAGTATTGACCTTCACCATCACTGTCATACACTTTAAAATTATCGTAGAAAGAATAGGCATGGTATCAAGAGTTACAATGAAAAGTCTTTGAATCAAGAAAGTCTCAAAGGCATACTTGTCCACTGACTAAATTTGTGATGACCTAAATTTCATTAGCTCGATTCACTGAAAAAAGGTAATTTTAAATAGGACAAGTGAGCATTCTGTGACTCCCCAATATGGAAATGAGGTGAAAATTTCTGTACTATTGCATTGTGCCTTTTCAGGACTCCTTCTAACAGGAATGTGGAGGAAATGGAATTGGCCTTCTCTCTAACAGAACTGTAAAAAGGATTCTGTGTGTTGCTAGATGTGTTGAGAGGAAAATGTGTTCTTCATCTTCGTTTAAAAAAAAATTGAGTGTGTAGACATTATGCTATTGCTTTGGGATGTCAGTGCTTGTCTCTGTTCCCTCTCTGCTATCACAGGAGTAATCCATTAATGTCCTCTTTGTAGAACATGTACTTTCAGTGAGCTTTCTTCCTAACCTGATAGCAAGTACCTACAATTCACAAAAAAGACCAATTGTTACTTTAAAGTACTATAATTTAAATTCTCCAGTGTCAAGAATCTTAACAAAATGCCCACTAGTGATTCCTATATACTTGAAGAGAAGGAACATTTATCTGCACTCTTACCTAGATCTAGACAGTTATCTGAGGCAGGTCTCAATGAAAGATTGCTGAGTTTATAAGTCTTTATAATTCCTATGTGGGCTATAAAATATATTTCCACCTATCACTTGCTAAATTTCACAGGACTTGTGATAAATTCAGTCAGAACACGCTTGTCTTCAGACAAGCATGTGCTGAAGTTCAAACTAGATTTCTTAAGCATCTGAGCCAAGTAGATCGTTAGTTCATATTTGGTAGGCGTCTGTGATGTTACTTGCATGGCTCTAGGCACAGTTCCTGCAGGTTTACCTCATCTCCAAAATGCCAGATGAACAGGAATGTCTCAACACCATGTCACTTCTGTGAGGTTATAAAGTGACAGGTAGCTCAATTAACTTTTGCTTTCAGTCTGCATTGGACAACTTTGTGTTTTGCTGTGCTGTTAACAACAAACACAAACCATTTTGTTGTCTCCTACCTTCATTGATGTGACAGGAAGGAATAAGAAAATCAACAAAATGGGCCTTAGGTGAGGTGACCTCCAGCACTTCCATGTAAGCAAGCAAGTGCCTACAAGGCCACCATTATGGACAAATCCTCCAAACCCCCTCCAGGAACTCAACATGCTAGGGTGCCTCTCTAAAGTGCCTGTACACTAGTGTACACAGTATGGGGAATAAACATGATGAGTTAGCAATCTGTGTGCAATTGCAGGGCTATGATCTTGTTGGGATCATGGAGACGTGGTGGGGTGGCTCTCATGGCTGGAGTGTTGCGATCAAGGGGTACAGGCTCTTTAGGAAGGATAGGCTGGGAAGGTGAGGAGGGGGAGTTGCCCTGTGTGTGAGAGAGCAGCTGGAGTGCATGGAGCTCTGCCTGGGGATGGATGAGGAGCCAGCTGAGAATTTATGGGTTAGGATTAAAGAGAGGGCAAGTCAAGGTGACATTATAGTAGATGTCTGCTATATGCCACCTGACCAGAAAGTGGATCGGGCCCTCTACAGACAGATAGAAACAGTCTCCCATTCGCAGGCCCTGATCCTCATGGGTGACTTGAACCACCCCAATATCTGCTGGAGAGGCACAGCAAGGAAATAAGCAATCCAGGAGGCACTTGGAGTCCATTGACAACTTCCTCCTCCCAAGCGTTAGAGGAGCCAACAAGGAGAGGTGCTCTGCTGGACCTCATACTCACCAACAAGGAGGGACTTGTTGGGGATGTGAGGGTCAAGGGCAGCCTTGGCTACAGTGAACATGAGATGGTGCAGTTCAGGATCCTGGGGACAGGGAGGAGGGCTCACAACCCTGCATTTGAGGAGAGCAGACTTTGGCCTCCTCAAAGATCTGCATGGAAGAGTCCTGTGGGATAAGGCCCCAGTGGGAAGCGGGGCCTAAGAGAGCTGGTTAATATTCAAGGATTACCTGCTCCAAGCTTAAGAGAGTTCCACCTCAATGAATATGAAGTCAGGCAAAAATGCCAGAAGGCCTGCATGGATCAACAAAGAGCTCCTAGCCAAAATCAAACAAGAAGCATACAGAGGGTAGAAGCAAGGAGAAATACAGAAACATTGTCTGAGCATCCAGAGATGAAGTTAGGAAAGCGAAAGCCCAGATGGAACTGAATCTGGCTAGGGATGTCCAAGGCAACAAGAAGAGCTTCTGTAAGTGAATCAGAGACAAAAGGAAGACTAGGGAAAATGTGGGCACTTTGCTTGATGAGACAGGGGACCTGAGTACAGAAGACATGGAAAAGGCTGAGGTATTGAATGCCTTCTTTGGCTG